CAAACAGGGAACCAGAACAATTACCTTGAGACCAACACAAGTGGAAACACAACATAAAAAACGTATTGGATAAAGCAAAAACAATTCTAAGAAGAAAGATCTCAAGTAGAGAATCTAGTATCACATCTCAATTAAACAAAACACAAAGGAAAAAGAAGAATGAACTAAGCCCAAAATTTGCAGAAAAATGAAATAATAAAGATCAAAATACAAGTGAATGAAACAGAGGCTAGGGAAGCAACATAACAAAAATTAGTAAAATTTAAGTGTTGGGTTTTTAAAAGATAAAATTAAAAACCCTTAGCTAGACTAAGTAGGAAAAAGAGTTTAAAAGAAACTCAAATAGATAAGAAGAGAAATGAAAATAGACACAATGCAACTGATACCACAGAAATACCAAAAAGAAAGAAATGACTACCAACAATACACCAAAAATTAGATAATCTGGAAGAAATGGGTAAATTTCTAGACATATACAACTTACCAAACAAGATCATGAAACATCAGAAAATCAAAAAAGACCAATAATGAATAATGAGACTGGATTAGTAATAAAGTTTCCTATTAAAGAAAATTCCAGACACCTCAATTCTACCAAATAGTTAAAGAGCTAATACTAGTCTTTTTCAGACTCTCCAAAAACACTGAACTCTACAATACTTCCGAAGTTTTTTTATGTATAAGTTATCACATGTACGTCATACTGAAGTATAAGTCAGTGGTTTTGACATAGGCATAAAAATCCTCAAGAAATTAGCAGAAATACTAAATTGTATTACAATTACAACATATTAAAAGGATCAACCACTATGATCAAGAGGGATTTATCGGGATACAAAGATAGTTCAACTTACAAATCAACAAGTGTGATGCACCACATTAATATTATGAAGACACATAAATCAATGAGACCAAATAGCCCCAAAGTGAACTCACATATAGTCAATTGACTTATAGTAAAGATGTCAAAAACATACAATACAGATATGCAGTCTATTCAATAAATGCTAATGGGAAATTCACACTTTATACAGAAATTGACTCACACTTGGGGAGGTGAGACAAGAGGATTTGGGAATTTGAAGCCAACCTTGTTCAAAGGCAGCCTTGACCTACATAATGAGACCTTGTTCAAAAAACCAAAAACAGACAAAAACTGAATCAATTAAAAATGATTAAAGACAATTTTAAGAACATAAACTATAAAACTGCTAGAAGAAAAACATAGGGATAAAAACTACCTGCCCCTAGTCTGGGTAGTCTTTTTTTTTTTTTTTTTAATTTGACCATAAAAGCACAGGGAACAAAAACAAAAATAATCAGGGATGGTGGTGCACACTTATAATCCCAGCACTTGGGAGGCAGGAGGATCACTGCAAGTTTGAGGCCAGTCTGGGCTACACAGTGAGTTCAAGCCCAGCCTGAATTATACAATGAGTCCCCTCACACACATACACACACACACACACACACACACACACACACACACACACACACACAAAGATTATAATAAAATTAATAAGACTTCTGCACAACAAAGGAAACAAATTAGTAATTTGCAGAGACAACCTACAAATTAGGAGAAAGTGTTCCCAAGTCATACATTTGTTAGCATTAATATCCAAACTACATAAAGAGCTCAAAAGCTGAATAGAAACAAAAACTGTAAAAATTATCAAGGGACCAGAAGAGACTTTTCTCAGAAAATATAAAAATGGCCAACATATATATGAAAAAAAAAATACTGAATATTTCTAAACACTAGGGAGATACAAATGAAAATCACAATAAGCCATCTCACACTCATCAGAATGGCTTTTATAAAAATATGGAAGGTGGCAGGTACTGGCAAGACATGGAGGAAGGGGAACAACTTAAACACTTTTGGTGGGAAATTAGTGTAGACACTATGGAACCCTCTTCCTCAAAAAATTAATAATGATACTACCATGTGATCCAGCCCTCTACTTCCCAGAGGATTTTAAGTCAGTTTGTCAAGGTTCATAATAACCAAGTTACAGGATGAACCTCAGTGTCCATCAACAGATGAATTGTAAAAAAAATATGGTATATACTTACAACAGAATATTATGCAGCTGTTAAAAAGGAAGGAACCCTGTCATTTTCAACAGCGTTGGTGAAACTGACAACATTATGTGACGTAAAGTGTGCCACAGACAGAAAGATGAAGTCTGTGCGTTCTGCTACCTGTGTATAAATCAAACACGTAAAACAGCAAAACAGTAGTGATAGAGCTTAGGGGTAGATGGGGCATTACAGGGAGATGCTGATCTGTGGATACCTGGGCCTCAGCTACACAAAAGGAATTTTTTCAGATCCGTCGCACACCCTGGCTAGAAATGGCTAAGAAAGCACATTTCAAATGTTCTCACCACCAAAAAAAAAAAACTTTATTTGAGATAAGGACCATGTCAGCTTGATTTAATTTGTCCTCATCGTGTTCTTAGTCACAACATCACCCTGTACCGTACAAGTAAATACAATTAATTATAAGTTGTCATTTACAAAAAATAAAGAGAAGTAAAAGCAGAGAGAGACAGACAGACAGAGACAGAGATAAACATAGTAACATAAAAACAGAGAATTGGAAATCAGTTGTAGGTTACCTCTGGATTTTTATTATGAGAGATGACTTCTTTCCCCCTATATTTATAACTGTTTTTTGACAACAAATATGTATTACTTTCATAATCAGAAAAAGCAGTTGTTTAAAGAAAAGGGGGAATCTAGCCCATCCCTTAAGATTGTTCCTCATTAAGGCTTCCCAAATGCCTTGTTAAAATGAGTCTCTTTCCTTTATACCATCACTATTGTACTTTGATTTAGACTATCCTTTCTTCATTTGACATTTGCATGGTATTTTTCTTGTAGGCAGTTACAAATGTATACCTATCAGCAATGGTGGTGTTGTCCAAGTTGACTTTCTGAACAGCTACAGAGGCTCAGCTCAGGCTTCCTTTTCCTGGAGGGCAGGTTCTATGAGTCTTCATTGCTGCTCCCCAATGTCAGGCACATAGCAAGTGCTCAAAGTGAAGTCAATGATTTGGAAAGCATTTCTCTTCCCAGTGAAAACTCAATTTACTATTAATCAGGCATCCAATAGGGGATTTCAAGGGTACCATGAAGGACTTTTATCCCAGTCTACCTAAATAAGCTCATTCTGGGTTAGCGTGGTCCTGACTCAGTGAGAATGGAAAATGTGCCCCCACCACACCATACTGCCCTGTAGAGGACTGCCAGGAGGCCATCAAGGAAGTGGAGACCATGGGGGGTCCATGGAGGAGAGGGAGCTGGCACTAGGTGGAGGTGGCAGTCCCGGAGAGCAGTGTGCCCTCCTCCCACCCCGGTCCTGCTCGCAGCTCTAGGGTTCCACACCCTTCTCAGATGTGAAGCATCCTCTGAGAACGGCCTCAAGATGCTGAGGGCTGAGCTCTGTCTGTGAGGAGACCCTTCCCAGTGAGGGTGAGAATGGAAGTGCAGGAAGGGACCTTTCTTTCCCCCTCCTTACCTCTTTCTTCTCGCAAGCAGCTTAGAGGCCAGGGTCCCATTGTTCACTTCCCCACTCCTGACTCACACAGAAAAGCAGCAGATGGCAGAAGCCAGGGAAGACCAATCTCTAGACCTGGACAAAGAGGGCCCAGCCCACCCGGCTCACTAGCGGGAAGACCTTAGACAAACCTGAGGCCAGGGGAAGTTAGGCCAGCACAAGTCTCAGCACCCAAGATAACTGATGTCTGTTCTAGAACTTCAATTTTGAGCTCCCTTCTATAGAAATCCAGTTAGAAACTCCACCTCATTATGGAGAGGCAGCAGTCCCAGGGAGTTTACCAAGTAAAGGATCAGGTACAGAGGTCAGGTATACAGGCTTCACAAATCTCTAGCTGCTCTGCATAACTTAGGTGCCCTGTGTTCATGATCCCACCAGGAAGGGGCTGGGCTGGCCTAGGGGGCCCATGATGATTCAACAGCAAGGACTTGCAATCTCCCAGAGCTCTGGCTGTGAAGCAGAATTCAGGGCCCTTGATAAGCCCTTCTCGTCATTGTTCTATGCAGTCCCAGTACCATTACAAAAGTGGGTGTGAATGACGTGTTGGGAAGCCCACATTACATTAGTTTTCTAGAGTTGCATTTGTGAAGGACTGCAAAACACATAACTTAAACAACAATGATTTACTAGTAGCCAGAACTCTGAGATCAGGGTATCAGCATCAGCAGGGTTAGATGTTTTTGGAAGTTGTGAGGAAGAATCCTTTGTACACCTCTGTCCTAGCTTCTGGTGGTTTTCTGGTCATCCTTGATGTTCCCTGGCTTGTACCTCATCCTGATCTCAGGCTCCGCCATCACAAGGGGTTCTCCCTATATTTCTGTCTCCAAATTTCATCTTTTTATGAGGACACCAATCCTATTGGATGAGGGGTCCACCTCACTGCAGTGTGAGCTCATCTTAACTAATTACATCTGCAGTGATTCTATTTCCAAGTGGGGTCACATTCAGAGGTATTGGAGGCTAGGAATTCAATGTATGAATTTTGGGGGACAGGTTAAACTTATATCCAGAGTGAGCAGTTTAGGAGGAAAAAATCATATGTTCTCTCCTAAATCCTGCTGTCCTTCAGAATTTTTATTCAAACAGATTAGCTGTTCTCTTTAGACATCATTCTGTTGAGAATTTTGGAAATGTCTGCTTCCTTTATCCTGTTTTCTGTCCTGTTGTATCCCTTCCCCAAGGTATGGAGTGAGCAAGAGCTCAGTTACTTGAATCCAAGAACAACAAAAGGAAGAAAAATCAGTGAACCAGCCAATATTTCCAGGACAGTATCCTTCAAAATAAGGAAGTAGTTAATTTCCTGGAGCATTCATAAGAAAGGCTGAAGTGCGGGAAAGGCGCTCCAAAGCCTGGCTGTGTCCTTTTAGGGTGTAACAATCAGCCATCTGCATTCATTCCCTGAGAGGGAGGAAAGAAAGAGAGGAAGCAAGCGTTTTAAAAATCACTTTTATTTTAAAAATGTACATAATCTTTGGGTAATTCAGGATTAGCTTAGGCATATTTCAGAAGTTTCTGAAGAGACTAAAGTCTCAACTCCAAACCAAAAGCAATAGTTTATTTGATTGGTGGAAGGATTGGAGAGGATCTCATGATACAGGAGGAAGAGATGGCTACTGAAGCCAGGACCCCACACAGACAGGCTTTTCTGCAGCATACAGACATAGTCTTAAAATTATCTGTCAAAGACATTAAACATCAGACTTACAATTATACCCAGAAATTATCTGCATTTCATCAAGGCTCCACATTTACAGAGCACAGAATTCAAAGTTCGGCAGACTTCAGAATCATAAATTAATTTAATCTCATATTAATAATAACAGTTAAAAACTAGATTCTACCCAGTGTAGTCTGTCTCCACACAGGACATGGGTCTCCTGCTGGTAGAACGTCACCTTTCTTGGCACTCTGTGATTTTGACACAGAGTTACAAGGAGCATGTCAAATCACAATGAAAAATAAGCCAGGAATTCGGGGGCCCACAGAGGGATAGGGCATCTCCTTTACAGCAGTCTGGCATCCCAAATCCTGCACTCGTTTCCAAGCGGAACTGATCTGACCTACAGGCAGTGAGGAGGGAGAGGCTCCGTACCATCCACGGATGTGGATTTTCCCAAATGTCCAAAGAGGAGCAGCTGCTGTCTCCCCATAGAGCAGCTAATTCCCTGAAGACAGGACCTCTGCTCCTCTCCCCTAGCCCATTCTTGATCACAGCAAGGTCCAGCCTAGGTGTGAGCACAGAGAAGCCCTTGATGAAGGAAGAAAGAAGGGAGGGAATGGAGCCAGTATGTGCTCAGCACCACTAATACAATTACTTTTCTGCAGTCCTCATAACCTCCCTGAAGACAGGATCATCACCTTAATTTTTTAGATGTGGAAACAGGGATGAGGACTTTCCCAAGGTGCCACAGCAATGAGGTCAGTTGTGCTCTCCAAGATTCCGACCTCTGAGAGTGATATAAATCCGAAAAAAGCACCCTCTCCACTCCCTAAGGACCTTTTTGCAAAAGATTCATGGGGTCAAAGAAAGTGAGGTCAAGATACTTTGAAAGTAATATATGATTGAAAATCATTTAGAAGGGAAGATTAAAGAGCTAAAAATGCTAGTAGTTAGGAAGAGATTTTGGGTGTAGGCATTAAAGAGAAAGAGTTGGAATAGAGTCTATAAACCTCACTAGATAAAGAGGGTCAAGCTAGGCAATCCTACAGAAATCAGGGTTCAGGGGCTCTGGTTTGTCTGGTGCCTTCCGTGGGACTGCACTGACTGCCAAAATAGGTAGCAGGCTTCCTCAAAAAAAAAAAAAAAAAAAAAAACTTGAGCCTTTGATAAGTTTTCTTGTCTTCTCCTAAGGCCCATTCCAACCTCCCAGAGTTCTATGAAGCCTTCTAGGATCCATGGATGCAGGACACAGCATGTGCCTCCTGGGCACATGGACAGAAGTCCTGTCTCTCCACAAGCCCCAGTGCTCCCATCACAGTGAATGCCAGCACACTAGTGCCCTTGGGTGTCTCTGCCCCACTACAGTGGGGACTTGAGGACCAAGACTTCCTTCTCTGCATGGAGTGGGAAAAGGGGCTGACAAATTCATTGCTCATAAACACCCAGCCAGCCAGAGTGATGACAGCATCATGTCCTGGGAGCAGAGCCATGGGAGCAACTTTGGTTTGGAGAACTGAGTTGCTTCCAACACCCCATGCTACTTCTCATCCCCACCCACCCACTCCCCAGTACCAGTCTGCACCTGGCACTGCCATGATTTTGGAGTTTCTTTAAAATATCAGTACCTAGGTAGAGATCTCAAGCAACCTGAAATGCTGGTTTGGGCAAGAAGCATCCCCAGCTTTGGCAGCCCAGATGGGAAAGGTAGAGCCTGCATATACCTACACGGAGAGAGGGGAGGATGCAGTGGAAAGCACGCGAGGTGCATGTAGCTGTAGGTGCAGCAGGAGGCTGGACTCACAGGTTCCATGGCTGTGGGGAAGGTTGGGCCTCGTTCCTCGGCCTCCAGCCATGGAAGCCCCAGACCTCCTGCTGACCAGAACCCCGAGCGTGCAATCAGCTGGCTGAGACTGCTCCTGAAAACAGTCCTATCAGGCTGCATGGCCAAGGACCAACCATGAATAACTGATGGAGAAGAATGAGGGACTGGTGCTCAGCAGCGAAGGTTCCGGAAGCCAGACAATGTGGCTTTCCCAAGCAGGTAAATGTCCTCATCTGTGCCCTCGTTGAGGTATTTTACCATATTCTTTTCAAAAAGGAGTGGGTGGTAGGCACCCATAGTGCAGGCCATATCGAAGAACTTCTGGTGGTAGTAGCACACGTCGGTCCTGCGCTTGGATGGAAGGAACTCATAAATATCCACCTGGTCACACAGTGTCATCATGATGATGATGCCTGCGGAGAGGAGCAGAGGTGAGTCCCACCTGACAGCCCATCCCATTGCCCCAGAGTTCTGCCAGGAGGTGCAGCCACTCATGACCCAAACTTTGAAGAGATGGCCACCGGAGTCTCTGTTCACACCTCTGATTCCCAGTATGAGTGTGTTAATCCCAGCAGACTGCTGCTCGGGATACAGCACTTTTATATCTTATGCACTTTAGGAAACTCTGCAGCCCATGAATCTTGACCAGGGTGGGGAACATAAGTCCTCTCTTGATGTCAGCAGACTAGAGGACCCCATCAGTCAATGAACTTATCAGTGGAATAAGCTAAACAAAAGAAAGGGGCCCAGACAACTGAGCTAACCAAGGAGACAATGCATTCTATTGTATTTAACACTCCTTGCCCTTCCTACCCTGGATTTGTATGATTTGGAAAAAGGTTAGTCCATACAATGTTTACAGGAATAGGTACAAAAGAGGGAAACTTCCCCCCATAGCTGGGAAGAGAGAAAACTAGAAGAGCAGCACCTTTTGCTCTGTATGAAACTCTGCTCATCGCTGGAGGAAAGATGGAGTCTAGGAAATGATCCCAGGCCAGTGCGCTCCAGGGAGGCTGTGCAAAACTGTGGCATGCAAGCCAGGGCAGCAGCAGAGGCAAGAGGCTCATGCTATCACCCACACTTGTCCCACCTGGCTCTGCAGAAATGTCCCCTCTTGGTTCCTCAGTTCTTTATCTGCCCCAAGGGGAAGACCTACTCCATCTTTCTATTGCAGAGGTTATTATTATGATTAAGTCAGATCACGGTGGTAAGACCCCTTTTTCCACTATTAGTATAAGAAATCTGCAGGATGAGACAATTCTCACTGATAGCAAAACTGTAAAGTGCTAGCGGCCACTTTGATTTAGAAGAATTAGATGTGGGGAAAGCCCTGCCTGCTCTCAGAGAGCTGTGCCAATGACTGATGCGGGCACAGTAGACTCTTCGAGAAGGAAGAACGCCTGGGAGAAGGCTCAAGTAATCCTGTTGAAACCCACAGCAGGGTGGACGGATGAGAGCCAGGAGGGAGCCCAGTGGGAAGGGGACAATGGCATAGGCAAAGGCAGGCCAGTGGGGCAATAGGAAACTATGCTATCAAGATGCCAATTACCCTGCAGGAAAGGCTTCAGGAGAGTCTCAAATGCATCCATCCAAAAGCTGAAGCAAAGGGCATAAAAGAAACGATACTGTGAGTTCCAGCATCTTTCTATGGGAAACTCTCTGGTGGTAAAGGTCCTCATTCATTTACCCAGGGAACATTATTAGAGGACTATCTCATGTCAGAGAAGGCAAACACAGTCACTGCCCTGAAACACTTTAGAACCTGGCAGGGGAAATAGACAGTGCAAAGTGGCCGGGACCATCCACCAGGAGAATGGTCCACTGCTGAGCTACAAGAAAGAAGCTCTCAGCCTTATGCACAGTCAGCCTGCATCCTCATGGAAATGCTTCAGTGATCCAGTCAAACAGAAAGAGAGGGGATGGCAGATGGACAGCATGGCCTGAGAAATACAGAGAAGTCTAAGAAGAAAGCCTTGGACCGGCATCCAGGAGCCTGCAAGCCCGGCCTGCTCCACTCCAGGTCCCACAGATCCACTCATCTCCACGCCCAGGGGAGCCTCCCTACACGTTCTTCTCTCCAGAATTGTCTCCCCATGTGTTTGCTAGGGTGGGCAAATAAAGACAGAAGTGTATAACTGACTTCTCCTCTGCCTCAGGCTCCAAGATGACGGCAGGGCATTGTTACTGATCTTGTCCCTATTGAAATATTTGATACTGTGTTGATCATAATTTTTGGCATGAATTATGAAGTTTAGAAACAGTGCATTAAAGTATTGCTTGATTACTAAGTTTTGAGGTAACCCCTGCCCGCATTGTAAACCGGATCTAAAAGCCTTGCTTAATCCATGCAAGGCTCAGCCCTGTTCCTCCTGTTTTTTCTGCCTCCTCTGCTTGCATGTGTACAGTGTACTCCATCTGCATCACCAAAGCCTGCCCTCTCCAAGGTCTAGTCTGGTGATCTTTCCTCCATAAAGCTCTCTGTATGTCCAGGTAAAAGGGGTCTTCTTTCTCCTGCCTGCCACCTCAGATACCTGACTGGATCCTCATAGTAGACATTCTAAAGGAGAATTGGATCGGACTTCTTTCTGTATATTAGATAGAACGTGGCATAGTGAACAAAGCAAATAATATCAGTTCATTGGTTAACAAATAAATGAATGGATAGATGAAACCCCAGAAGAAAGCTAATCTCTTCTGGAAATAACTGCATGAGGCCCCCCTCCCCCCGCCACCCCGATGCAGACTTACCGAGCATCCCAGAGGATGGGGGATTTGGCTGGATCTCTTCTGGGGAGATTTCCTGAAGAATATCCCACAGCTCCCAAGGCATCTGGGGTCTGAGGATGTAAAAGGGCTGGTTGGGATGCAGCTTGCGATAGCTCTTGTAGTTGTTAAAGAAACTGTAGTCCGGATTCTGGTACCACTGAAAAAGAAGAAAGTCGTGTTCTCAGGAAAGAAATGTGCCCGTGTCCAGCTCCCTGTAATTAGTCATTCTTTCAGAGGCTGTGGGAGGGGAAGGGCTAGGGCAGGATCCTGAGACTTAGCCCTTGCCTCAGAGCAGATCCTGATTTCTGCACCACAGAACCAAACACAAAGTCTGCACTTATGGTGACATTGAACCTGGTGACCCTGAAACATTTAAGACTTTAGGATGACAGAGCCTAGGAATGATATCAGAGCTGAATAAGCCCCTAGGCACCATCTAACCCCACCTTCTATCTATCTATCTGTCTGTCTATCTATCTGTCTGTCTGTCTGTCTATCTATCTATCTATCTATATCTCTCTCTAATTCTCTCTCTTTTCAAGATACAGCCTTGCTATGTTGCCTAGCTAGCCTTAAATATCTAGGCTCAAGTGATCTTCCTGTCTCAGCCTCTCAAGCGCTGGGACTACAGGACTAGAGATGCATGCCACTCTTGCCTGGCCATAAAGTACTCTCATTTTTAAAAAACAGAAAACCAGAGCATGAGCCACTTCTACGGGTTTAGAGTCCTTCTCCAGGCAAGGACTAAGTGAGATCAGTGCAAAACGGTTGAAACTGAAGTAGAAAGAGTGCCAGGGAAGCCAGAGACCATTGGTCACATAACTTGGTGGATCCAACTTAAGAATTAAGTGTCCCAAGAACGGTCCTGTCTGCCTTTCTGAGCTCACCACTGCCCACAACAGGTGGAGGCCAATTGGCGTGGATAACAGACTATTCCAGAAAGCCTCAGAGTCCAGCAGGCTGGTGACCCTTGGCCCCTTCACTGGAAGAGATTACTGATCTGGGCTCCCTGCTTAGGACTCAATGTCAAGGCAGAATGGGGTGTGGAGAGTGGCTGGTCCAGGACAGGTCTGAATCCACCAGTCCAGATGAAGTGGGGTGCTCTAAAACTCAAATAGTCAGGACTGGCTCCCCTCAGCCAAGATTTTAAAAACAGGAACTCAAGAAAATCAGCAGGGAAACAAGGGACTCAATCTCTCCTTCCCCTGGAAGCTCACTCACCTTTGGGATATCTGCATGGTACATGGATGGGTCCCACACAATCAGGATTCCTTCATTGTACAAACTGTCACTGAGGAAGCGCCCTTCGGTGGTGACCAGCTGCAGAAGACAGAAAGGAACTTGTCACTTGAACGTTTAGGTGTGGATGGTTGGCTCGTGATGTCAAATGACACATTATAGGCACCCCTGAGTTCCCAAGCTCTCCGTGGGTCTCTAAATTGGTGCCATAGCATCTTCAGCCTGAACCATGCTGACTTAAAAGGACATTTGTCACAAGCCATTAACCATGACTCAGAAAGGGCTCCACTCAGACTTTGGAACTCTGGGGTGGGGGGAGGCAGAGTGAAAAATGACACAGTCTCCTACTTGCTTGGCATCACATTTTAAGGAGGGTCAAGAGAGTAGTGTATTAAATTAGAATATAACATAGAGCACTTGCCTGGTAAGTGCAAAGTCATGGGTTCAATCCTTGATACCAAAAAACAAAAGCCTCAAAAGAATATAACATAGTATTGTATACTATATTAACTATTATATTTAGAATATGATGACTAGACTATAACATAACATAGTCTATAATATATGATCTCTGGAAATCCATTCCATCAGCTCTTACATCCAGTACACGGTATGTGCCCATCTCTCCCATGAGGTCCAAGACCGGCGGCAGTTTCTGCAGCACTGGAACGGATCACCAACTCTATGGCTAAGCACAGAGCAAGCCATCCACTTGTTTGGAGGAACTACAGCTTTAAACACGAGAATCTCACCATCCACATTTCACAGATGGAAAAACCAGACTGCGGATGAGGGAAGTCACCTGTCCTAAGGCTTGATTCCTAAACAGAGAGCCTAGATCAGCAACTCCACTCTTTCAGTGAAGGATCCTAGGGTCACCAGCCTGCTGGACTAACAGGTAGTCTGTTTGCTATGCATGTCAGTATCCTGTTCTGTGAGGCAACCTCTCAGGTCTCCATTTTTCTATTCAGGAATAGGAGACACTTACTCTGCTGTCTCCAGCAGGCGAGGATCAAATAGAGAAGATGGGTGAAGAAGAAAGACAGAAAAATGGCCCCAAGGGCTCACGAATGAAGGGAGTCACATCCCTCTTAGAAAGTTTGAAAGCCGAAACTGAAACATGAGGTCAGTTGTCAATCATCCAAAAGAGCAGGTGGGACAGATGTGGCCCAAGTGAGAGGGGTATGTGGCAGAAATCAAATCAAGAACTGACTGCAAAGAATCATAACCATAGTCCCTCCCACCTGGACCCTCACCACCAAGGCTGAAGTCTAGTCATTGGCACGGTGGCAGTGGCATCTGAAAATGATGCAGGGAGATTATCCAAGAGCTGCCTGAAGAACAGCAATTGCCAGGAACCTCAGAGCACTGCACTGCCCTCCCCGTCCCCACAGGTGCAGGGAGAACTTCATTCATCCAAAGCATCTCCGAGAGGAAAAACACTGCTGGTGGGTCCATCCTCACCAGGGACTATGCACTTGCACAGGTGCTAAGAAGCACAGTAGAGACAACATGTCAGTGACCCTGGGTGAGTATTAATGAGGGACAGAATGTTCCAAACTGGGAGTGAAATGTGCAGATTGCCAGATATCAGAGTGTGTGGCCGAAACTGCTAATGGTCACCTACTGCCCATTCTCTATATCTTCTCTAGTAACAAACAACTCTATCTTTTACCCTAACTTTTAACATGTGCTGACCTGAGAGGACATATAACTGCCTAACACAGAATATCTGAAATAAAAATTTCCCAGCTTCTCTTGCAGCTAATATAACTAATCCCAACCAAAGGTACATTAGCGAATATGACCTACAGGAAGTGCTCTCAGAGGCAGGGTCATGGCCTTCCTTATTTCTCCCCCCTTGATCTGGCTAAAAGGTGAATATGGTGGCTGGAGCGTGAGTGGTCACTGTGGACTGTAAAGTAGAGGCTAAGAATGACAAATGTACAAAGTAGGAAGGACCTGGGATTTTGACCCTGTGGATCATCATGAAAGCCAGAGGTAGCATGGAACGTCTACCTCAGGAACTGGAACCTCACAGATGCCAGGCAGGTGCTGTGCCACTGAGTTAAACCCCTGTCCTTATATTTTGGTGTTGTTATGTTAGTCTCGGGGATGGGTGGTGTGTTCCCTGCAGAGAAACCTAACTCTGACCGAGAAGGTGAGCGGTCTGTTGAGGAACTGCTTGGTACATCTAGGACGCAAGGAGAGAGGTGGAAGAGATCAGGAATGGGCCATGACAGCAAGCTCTTTGATGTGACAGGGAAAGTTGGAGCAGGCTTCCTAGAAGATAAGGCTTTGCAAAATTGACATGACCGAGAAAGTACCAGGGAGGACCCAGATGCAGAGGGCCACCCCCATACATCTGTAGATGTCTTCTGAGACAGAACTCTCTCCTCAACTCTGCCAGACACCGTGAAACAGCTGGCCTAGTGAAAGCACAAACTTTTCTTTAGCTATGCCTCTGTCTGTGCAGAGTGCTGATGCCCAGTGCTTTATCTACACATTACCATGAGTATCATAATAACTGGGATTTCAAAAATTGTCTCCTCCTGACAAGGCCCCTCTCCAGCAATTTTCTTAGTGTGCACTACAGGAAGTTAGTGGCAGCATCTTCCATCTCCAAGAGACATCTCCAAGATCTGTGGCTTTACTGACCTAGGAAATTTCCAGACAGGTGCACAAACCTTTCTTCATTACCATGAATGACAATGATAACGGATGTCATTTAATGATGATTATTAATATCCTTTACTTCCATATATTATCTCATATGTTGTATTCATAATAGCCCTAGGAAGTGAAAATGGAAACCCACTTAGACATTCGATACAAATTTTGTGTAAGTCAGATAGCTTGAAATTCAAGGAGTTTGATTTGAGCCTTATATCTGGCTCTAGAGGCTGGACTTCTAACCTACATGTTGCAATGGCCCCATGGAAAGAGGACAAAGTAGTCACCTATACCCTCAGGAAGAAATGTCCAAGAAAGCATTTGATGAAGTGTTTGGGAATATGAGAATTTTGCTTCTTATCTAAACTGCAGCATGCCAGAATTGGTAGATTAATAAGGACTGACCAAATCCATCATTTTCCCAGATACATAAAGTGAAGTCCAGAAAAAAAGAGAAAATTGTCTGAAGCAGAAGGTCAGTTTGAGACACAGACAAGACTAGAGCCTAAACCTGACCAGAATACTCTGGGATCTGACCAGAATACTCTGTCTTTTTCAGTCACACATACACATGCAAGCATTTAAATGAACAGCACCCGACAAACAGTAAAGCAACCCACAGTCGTCCTGGGTACAATGGGGAATGGGTTAGTTAACCCAGTTGCTTGAGAAGAATGACAAAGTAATCCAAGAAATAGGGGATGGGTGAGGTAAATGAGGGGGCACAAAAGGGGTCCCTTTTTATTCAGAGGCAGACACAAAATGGTGATGGCTGAGATCTGGTAGAAGGAAAGGAGAGAAGCCAGCAAGCATCAATCCCCCTGTCGTGCACACATGCACACATGCACAGGGGACAAGGGCTCTGAACTTACCCACAATAGTCCCCTTTGTGTGAGGCTCAAAGATTTCCTCAAAGAAAGGCTGACTCAAAGCTATGCAGGGAGCTGACAGTAGGAGACCCAGCCCCCGTCCTCAGCTAATGCTGTGGTTTCAGGTGGACTCTGTGATGCATCCAGGCTCAAACACCTTGTTAACAGAACACAACACCCTACAAGGTCATAGCAGGGAACAAAATAAGCTTCTCCAGCACACCTGTAGTTACTGCTTAGGGAAGGCATCCTGGGTCCAGAGATGCTGGGGAGAAGGGAAGTGAAGAGCTCATAATGAGGAGAATAAGTCAATTCCAGAGTAAGAGAGCCCTGGGGGACATGTGCCAGGAAAAAGCTACACCAAAGAGATGGACTGTGGCAGCCTTTCCAATTACAAGGTAACAAATGTTCACTGCAGAAATTTTGTTGAAAACGTAAGAATAGAATGTGTGTGTGACAGGGTGTGCGCACACACACACACAGGAGGAGAAAACATTCATAACTGCATTTTTCATTACCTTTTAATCTCTGTTTTGGACTGACTTGTGTCCCCACCTCTACTCCTCTGCCCACCAAATTTAAACAAAGAAGCCCTAATCCCCAGTGCAGCTCTATTTGGAGATAGTAAAGTCATTAAAGTTCAATGAGGTCAAGGGATGGAACCCTAATCCAGTAAGAGTGGTGTCCTTACAGGGAGAGGAAGAGACCACACAGTCTTTCTGTACACACAGAAGAAAAGCTACGTGACATTCTTGGCTATGAGCCTCACCAAAATCCAACCCTACTGGGACCCTGACCTTGGATCCTGGCCCCCAGAACCATGAGAAAGTAAATTTCTCTTGTTTAAGCCACCCAGTTTCTGGTATTTTATTGTGTTTACCCAAGATAAAATCTCCTCTATGTATGTGTTCTCTGTGTGCATCTGTGTGTGTGTGCATGCACACATATGTGTGTATCTTAACTGCAGAGTCTAAACTTAGTGTCTTTACTAAACTTATAGAACAATCCAGGTTAAAGACAAACACCCAAAGAAGGGGTCTAAATGCCTAAAATTTCAAAGTTACACTAAGATATGTGTATGTGTGTGTATACACAGATGTGTATACATGCATGCACAGCATGTGTGTAAACATGAACACATATGTACATACATACTGTGTATGAGTACACGTACATATGTGTGTGCCTCCACGTGTATACTTCCTAGCTCTATTTGCTCAAAGGACTAAGAATCACAGGTGGAAAAGAGTACATCTAGTGATCAGATCTTGGTTTTTAGTACCATTTCTCACTTGGAAAAATCAGAGATCTTTAGTTGATCACAGAGTGAGGCCAGAACAATATAAGGAAGCAAAGTGTCCCTGAATCTCTCAGTGTTCCTGCAAAAAGTTCTGGCCACTTCAAATTCTTCACATACGTTGACAATGAAACCTGTAGCTCTGTCACTGCCCTTGATTGAATTCAGGCAGGTCACCCTTTCTCCTTGGATTTTAGTCCTTTTATACAATGAAGCGATCAGATAAGATCTTGGGTTGCAAA